ACGTATATATGTATCTGTCTTATTTCATGCAAACACTCCTATTTTAATAATAAAGTGGCAGCTACTATTTGTTGAATTTGTTGGCAAACAGATGACTGGACGCCGGGTCCCAGGTCCCACTCTGGATTCTGGAGAGGCAGCAGCCAGCAAGACAGGGCCCTGCTTGGAGCCCAGCGGGAGGGGCGGGCGGAATGTGAGCGACAGTGCCGGGCGCTACTCAGAGACTCAAAATCGGGGCCCAATGGGCGACTTGGGGTTGACCGCCCGGGGCAGGCCTCCCCACAGGTGGCGTGTAAGCCAGGACCCAGCTCTATGGGTCCCGCAGAGTCCTGGTGTGTGCTCCTGGGACAGCGTGGAGGCTGTGGCCAGGCAGGGAGAGTGAGGAGGCCAGGCTGGCAAGGTCGGGGCCGGGTGGCGTGGGCATCTGCACACCCGGATGAGGAAGAGCATCCTCCCCAGTGCAGCGGTCACCAGGGAGGCTGGGTAACATGCAGCAGGGACCACGGAGGGGGCAGGTGGTCAGGGGGCATGGAGCGTGGCAGACACCGAGGCCTCTTCCCCGGGGCGAGGAACACTGGGGACACGCACCGGTGAGTCTGCTCACGGTGGAGACGCCAAGGTTCTATCAGGCATCCCAGTTACGGCCTCTGGGCCCCCACGGCGAGCACCACAGAGAGGAGCTGCGGGAGGCTCGCTGGTGCCCCCAGCAACTCCCTGCAGGCGTGCTGCTCGCGTCTCTCAGGTGGGAAAGGTCGACCGGGGTACCAACACCTTCTTTTAGAAAGTTGTTGCCACACAGAGACTGAAATTGGTAACGAAGGACTGTCGGGTGGAATCTGAATGCCAACAGAGTGCAGTGGAGGAGGGCTTGTTAGAAGGGGAAATTAAGAGTCCTGGCACCTTAAAAAAAAAGGTTTGCTCAGTTATGAACAAAGAGACGATATTTTTCTTGACAGCGAGCCCCCTCAGGGAGTCAGCAGAGACAGAAGGAAGGTTGGACCACCCAGGTATGCCTGCAGTGGGGAACAGGGTGACAGAAGGCGACGTCTCCTTCATTTTCTGATGGAAAACCAGCCATCTCTGGACGTTACAGGGACCAGCACCGAGCAGGCCTTGCGCCTGGTTCTCAGAGCAGTGGTCACTTGGAGGCTTTGAGCGCTGGTGCAGGAAGCAGCCCTGTGCCTCATGTCCAGGGGGCTGGAGGGGAGGACGCCCTGCAGTGATGACAGCCCCGGCAGGGGGAAGCCAACAGGAAGGGGCGTCAGGGATAACGCAGAAGTGGGGGGTGGGGTGGGGACAGTAAGTCAGGGCTCAGGAGCTGTTTTGCTATTGAAATGGCTGAGAAAGCCAGTTCAGCCAGGAAACCAGGCCTGAAACAGTTAAAATAGCAGGCTCCACCGCAGAATCTTGCTTGTCTTTCTCAAAAGCCCTCTTTCTGGGTGTGCCAACCGGAGTATTCTGTTTTGCTAAATACCTATTTTCAGTTATGTTTCTGCTTAAGATAACATAATTTAAAAAATCATTTGCTTAAGAGCAGCACACCGCTCTCTCTGTGAGAGGAAAGGTAGGGGTTTGGCTCACGTCACAAATGAAAGAGCTTTAGAAATCACAGCTTAGCCTTAATGGGTTGTAATCAGACAACCACTACCCCCACAGTCCTCCTGGACGGGCTGCAACTGCTTCTGCTCGTATAAAAGATGTAAAACAAATGCCCGGCTTCATCAAGACAAGGTGAACTAGAACAGGAAGACTGGAATTAGTCTGGGGGCTGCGGGGGAACCCGCCTTCCTTGTGGGGGAAACATAAAGCGCTCAGTTTCCTGATTCAAAGGCCTCACCTTAGTCTCACCCCCACAAGGCAGCCTATTTTTATTGGGCCTGTGTCCTGTGACAATACTTATTTACCGTGTGCCTGCCCTATGACAGGCAGCCTCTGTTCTCCAGGCCCTCTGCTGGAGTCAGGCCAGGGATGGGACAACACAAAGGGGACTGCAGCCCAGGAAGGCTACCTCCGGTGCAGGGCTCGTGGGCGGCAAGACTGCAGCTGGCCTTGGAGAGGTCAGGGAAGGCTTCCTGGAGGAAGCGATATGGAAACTGAAATCTGAAGATGGTCTCTGAGCTTCAATCTATTCACACAAACTATGTGTTGTCTGCTCCTTTTAAATGTATTTTCTCATTTTTCTTCCTAACTCTGCAGAATCTTCACATATGACTGGTTTAATCATATCCAGAAGAAACGTCTGCTTCCTTTCTTTTAATCAAGTATTTGCTGATGTATGAAAATATAAAATATGGAAATCTGTGCAACAGGTGGCATGTGTGTGTGTATGATTCCCCGGAGAGAGCACCTTCCTGAGGTGATGATGCCACGATCCCGGCTCAGAGGCAGCTCCCGGAGCACGCAGGGGCCCGTGGCCTGTGCACTTCCCTCCACACACGGAACGCACGGCACATCTCCTGTGCTGTGTGCGTGTGAGCAGCCAAGAGCACCCTCGCCTCGTGGCCCCTGCTCCGATGGGGGGTGTATTGGGTGTCTTCCCAGGGACTCAGAACACTCGCAAAACCCCTAGCGCTCATTTCTGCGCAGTGCCGACGGTGGGGAGACTCTTACTCATGGCCCCCTCTGCTCAGGTCCAGAAACGCTCTGCCGTGGCATACCACCATCATTTTGTTGGCAAACAAAGCCAAGGCAACCCCAGCCAAAGGGTCTCCCCACAGGGTGGTGACAAAACTCTCCATGCGGGAGCTCTGACTCTTGGTGTGTCCTCTTCCCAAAGACGCCCCTTTAGAACGGGGTTCCGCGGTTTTGGCTTGCTTCCTCCGCTGCCTGGTGGGCATACATTCAACCCTTCCCACTCCGACCCAAACCATTCACTGCCATTCACTGTCCACGCAGGGCCCTGAAACAGAGGCAGACACGCAGCTCCCGTGGGCCGGGGTGCTGGGCTTGGCCGGCCTTCCCTCCCCGGGACAGTGGGCTCCCTCCCTCTCAACCTGGCCCCGGCAGCCTGTCTGCTCCGTGCCTGGTTCTGTCTGCGCCTTCAGGGTTCTGTGGTTATGTAAACCGGGGGCTGGCTGGGGGAGCCAAGCTAGCCCCTAAACTTCATGGTCACAGGTTTCAAAGCCTCTCTTTAGAGGGTGAACACAAAGGAGCTTGTGAAACAGATCAGCCTCCACAGCGCAATGGACTCTACAGCAGTGCAAAGAAAGGGAAGGGGCCGTGGGCCAGTTCATCAGCCGCGCGGCGACAAAAGGGAGGACAAGAAGAAGTCCTCTGAAAGCAGGACACAGTCGGCACCAGCCGCCTGCCCTGGAAGAGCTCCCTGGGAGTGACCGGGAAGATTGCAGAGGCCCGGCGCGGGGCACGCTGCCTCCCCACCTCCCCGTGCACGTCCGCTGGCCACGTTTCATCTGGGGGAAAGGCGGGAGAGAGGAAGCACATAGACCGGCTCTGGGGACAGTGCCCCCGCTCCTGTCGCATCTCCCTGGGAGCCGAGCATCTGCGGGCTCCCTGGGGAACTCGGGTGCCCCCTCCTCCTCAGCTCAGGTTTGAAGGTCTGCCTCTATTCCTCCAACATTAACTTGGTCACTGAGCAGAACTGCTAGATGTGCGCTCTAGGCTGGGCTGTGTCTACCAGGGCTGCTGACCAAGCCACTATCTGCCCTTCCCTTCAGAGGGCGCAGGCCCAGCTCCTTGAGATACAGGAGGGGAGGGGGCCAGGGCACAACTCTTAAAAGAATGACACAGCCGTTGATGATACGACATAAACTGGTTAGAGTCAACTAGGCCCAAGATGGCGGAAGATTCAACTCCCTGTAGACTTGGGCCTTATTATAGGCTCACTGCGTCAGCTGCTAAATGACACCCCCCAGGCACCAGGACAGTTCCTGGGCTGACGTAAGAGGCCAAAGAGTGGGTGGGGCCCAATTCCTGGGAATCCCAGCCCCTTCCCCAAAATAGCTGGAATAATCCTCCCACTCGTTAGTGCATGAAATCACCCAGCCCATAAAAACTAACCACCCCGCACCCTGGGGCCACTCCCCCTTCTGAGATGGACCACATTCTGTCTGTGGAATGTGCATCTCTCTAAATAAACTTGCTTTCACTCTACTATGCCTCGCTCTTGAATTCTCTCCTGCTCGAAGCCAAGGACCCTCACTTGGCGGGGACCTGGGACATGACCGTCCTCACTCACCCTCTTCTCCTGCAACACCTGTGGTCCTGATCAACCACGGCGACCCAGACACTGTTAAGATGGGCGCTTGGTACCAGAGGGGCTCTGATCATCCTGCCAACCTCCGTCTCGCTGAGTATTTCTCATATGTTCTTTCTCAGACATTTGTTTTCCCCTCTTCAAAGAGAATAGGGCTCTAAATGTTGTTCGGTTTGCTAATATCCCCATAATGTTCCTTGTTGGCTCGGTCTTTAAAAATGTCATTTATCTTCATCAATCTGAAGCTCTCAGGCTGGTTATGGAAAAAAGCTCCCACAGAAGGAACTCACTCATCTTCGAGTTGGATTTCAAACTGAGGCAGCATTTTAAAGGAGATCTTCAAGAGTGCTTGGGCTAAACAGTGCCTGGTACTTAGTAAGCCCTCAGTAAATATTTGTGGAATGAATGAGTGAGTAAATTCTATTCTTTCCTATCTTCTTGTCCTGGAATAAAGGAGGTAAATAAAATGGAACAGTATTTAACATTTTGTAGTTTACCAGCTGAGACTAAAAAAACTCATTCTCTTTTTGTTACTAAAACCATCCATCTGCCAAATGTCACTTCCTGATAAGGGCGCATTTCTGAGTCCTCGTCTGTCACTGGATGTTGGCTGACATAATTAATGGTTACCACACAGCAACATTTGAATTACAAACCAAAGGCAATTTAGAAATTGACCCTACAAGACAGTCACCAGACCCATTCCATCAACTCCCAAGACCCGGGGTTTATTCAAATTTAGGAAAATGACAGAACAGAATCTGAGCGTTTGTAAGGAGTGGGGGCGATGGGAAGAGAGGGGCTTTGGCCAGGAGGTGCGGGGGGGCTTTAACCTGAAGCCGGAGACGAACGAGACAGTCTCTGAGGTAAACACTGTGGAGAGGCCTAATGCGTGTGGCTCCAGGCCCGGCTGCAGCTGGAGGGCACTTATCTGCCCTGCCCCCCCGGCCCCCGCACCAGGGCCCGCAGGTCACAGCTCTCACTGCTGTCCCCGCCTGCAGAGTCAGAGCAAGCGCTTCCAACCCTCAGCCAGCCAGCTGCCTGGACAGTCCTCTCGCTCGGCCTTCCTGCTTTCAGTTGGTAAGCATTTTTAATATTTTCTGCTAACAGCACTTTTGCTTCCCCCCCAACCCTCAAATAAATAAATAAAGCCAAGTAATCAGGCAGGCAGGAGGGAAGGCCTCCCCCTGGGTCTCAGAGGGGGCGGACACGGGAAATCCACGTGATGACCACCGTTACTGACGCGCTCAGGGTCTGGGCCTGGGCTGGGCTGGCAGCTTAGAACCCGGCACTTTCTGAAACGGAAATCCCACTGAAGGCTGTTTGGGCCGCGGACTGAGAGAGAAAAGCTAGCTGCTTACAGGTCTTTGTGCAGCTAAGAAACAGCAAACACTGAGGAAGCCTAATATTTGTTTAGCTTTTACAATTTCCACATGTTAATCTGTTTACTCGTCTACACCCCGGCCCCCGCCCCCTCATCCTGCCTCGCTGGCTCGCTCGCTCCCACCCCCAGACCCCCGCAGCAGGGTGGGGGGGGCAGTGGGCAGATTCCGAGAGGTCAGATCAAGCATCAAGCACAGGCCTGGACCTACACCACTGGGGCAGCTGCAACGGTGAGAAATTCTTTCCCACGAGTGATGACAAGCCAACAACAAGAGCAACAACGACGCCGTGGGGGCGGGCACCGGAACCCCGCGGGCTGTCCTCACACTGACCACACTTACGGTGTGCTTTCTGTCTTCCCTGGTGGCGGGAAGGCAGCGCCATCTCCTCAGTGCTCCGGCCCTCGGGGGGTCGTGACTGGCCAGTGGCCACCACAAAACCCACAGAAGGACCCAGGTGCTAAGAAGCAGGAGAGAGTACTTCTGGACGTTTCTACCACTCTCCTCCGTCAGCTGTCTGAGATGCGCACGGCTTCCCAGTTTCTGATCTTGTATCTTTCCTCCCCGTCACCAGTTCCTCCCAGACCTTGAAGGAGGCTTCAGGACCCCATCCCACGCCGGCCCTGGCTGCTTCCTCCCCAGTCCTGACCACTGTCTACTGAGCCCCTGGAAAGGGCCGAGACACCGGAACACCCGGCCAGGGCGAAGGTGACGGGAATGCGGGTGCTGGGCGTGTGATGTCCTGGCTGACTGGCGGGGGGAGGTGACCTCGGGGGCAGGGGGAAGGAATGGATCCCGTTCAGTGCAGACGTTCATGCCTATAAACCTCTATAGGTGCTCCTCCCTCTTCTCGGAAAGCACCTTCCCTCCTCAAGTAAACTGGCCACGACTTAACACAGAAGCCGTTCTGCTCCAACGTCTTCGAGGACCAACGTGGGGAGGGCAAGAGAGCCCACAGCCCTCTGAAGATGCCCGTCCTGCTGACACTCCCAGTCAGTTGCTTGTCTGCCTCCCCGCCTCTCCCTGGAGATGCTGACTCAGGTCCATGAGAACTGGCACCGGGTTTCCGTGGTTCTAGGTCTCCCCAGCCCAGCACGGGGCACGTCCTCAACTGACCCTGCACAGCAGAGCGGTGATGGGGGGAAAGGTGCTGGCCCAGCAGCCCTGGCCTCTCACACCCACCTCCCCAACCAGCTCCTCTTCCTCACGACTAGTTCAGTGGAGAATTCCAGAGACTTCCCTATTCCCAGGATGCTCCATGGTGATCAGCCTTTGGTGGTTTCAAGACAAAATGTTTTGGAGATACTACAGAAAGGAGGCATTTTTGGCTGCCTTTTTCTTAGAAGCGCTCTTCCAAACAAACATTTCCCCTAAGATAAGAGCCCAGAAGAGATACCACTCGCCTGGGCGGATAATACAAATGACACTGTGAGTGCATCTCGGATACCATCCGCCCACGCCCTCTGCCCGAATCCCTTGGTATTTGCAAGGCACCCTAACAGCGAGAGCCCTCTCTGCCTCTGTCTGTTCAGATCGGAGGTCCTCGAATGTGGTCCCTAGACCGGGGCGTCGGCATCACCCAGGAGCTTGTTAGAAACGCAGGTTCTTGGGCCCCACCCCAGACCTCCTGAACCAGAAGCCTTGGGGCTGGGACCCAGGAATCCGAGCTTGGACAAGCTTTACACCCAGGTACTTCTCATGTGCACTGAGGCTGGAGAACCACCATTTTGGACTCTGGCCGGTGGCTGCTATGATAGAAAGTGCAGTTCTAGAAAATGATAAAAATATATAGAATCATACTCAATTCAGTCCCTAAAAATCCCAGCAATAAAATCTTTCCACCCCATTCTCTCAGAAGCTGCCTTATTTCTTTGTATCGCCTCCTCCTGTTACAGTTCCTCACACATCGCTGATGCTCAGTAAATACCTGGCAACCGACCTTGGAATACCTTTGCTTTTTCATCTCTAAAACGGACGGTACTTATTCACGGATTCATTCACTCATTATGTCATTTATTCAAGTCACTCAAAGGTTTACGGAGTATCTCAAGTTAGCTCTACCCATCAAATCAATGTTTTGAAACTTCTGAAGCGGTTTAAGGCATTATGCAAAGCGGCATTACTCTTTCTGTATAAACTTGACAAGGCCTTACGTGAATGATGTGATCTGTGGTAAAGCAGAATCCTGGGGGAAGGAAACCGTGTCATCATTGTGTGCCCTGCAATGCATCTTTAAGATTTAGAAAAAGAGTATCACAGAAACCGCAGAAGGAACTTCTTTTTGTGGTTCTACAAATCTTTCGGGCCGCTCTGCGTCACACCAGTCAGTTTAAGTGGACGAAGGTCTTGTTTTTCAAGATAAACGTGCATTTTCGTGCAGCTTCCTACAAGGTAGAGCGTGGCCCTCAACTCTTCCTCATTAATGAGTTTGTATACTAACGATTAAATTTGAAATGCAGAGACTATCTCTCAAATTTTCAAATAATAATTTAAAATATGCCTGTTAGCAGTTTAGCCAGATTCGGGCTGGGCCTGAACAAGCAAGGCTTCTACTGCTGGTGCACCCCAGGGCAGGGACGCTGGCAAAGCTCCCTGTCTCTCTGGCCTCTGGGGACACAACACTGGCCAGTCTCGCTGAGACCCAAGGACTTCACAGGAAGCTGCCTGGGAGGATGTTGAGGCCTCTACCCTTTAGCGAGAACCCGGGCCCTGGGCCCTGCACAACAGAGGTGGCCCCAGGCTAGGCCGCCCTTACTTGCCTCCGGCCACACCTGTCCTGGGGCTGGAACCCTTCGCCCTGACTCTGGCCCTGGCTAGGGTTCCCTAGACAGAAAAGGAAGTTTTTAGTGCCCTGTTCTTTTTGCCAGGTTTGAGGAAATTGAACAGGGTTCAGGGCTGCCTCCACGAGACGGGCAGATGGCATGTGGCAGGTGTCTAAGTGCTGACGTGGGTGAGAATGGGGCCGCAGAGGGCACCCACTGTCTTTGGTGGTCTACGCCTCAGACGTCTGGGCAGTCACGAGGAGGCTCGGAGGGTGCAGGAGGGAGAGGCTAGCTGGGTCCAGGCTGGGGCTGCAGGCAGAATTGAGGGAGGAATTCCACCAGGAGGCCTGGCGGTATACAGGTGTGCTCTTTACACTGAACACGAACACCAGGGGGAAACTCACACGTCGTCTGGTCCGGGGATGCCAGACCCACGTTTTCCACTCTCTCCTCCCTCACCCAGGACAGAGATCACGAACGGATCCCAGTTCTCTTTCCCACTAAGCCTGGCGGCATCTCACTGTCTGCAAAACAACAGCCAGGAACAAACAGAAACTGCTCAGTCTGCAAACGAGTAAAACCTCACCGCCCACCTTCATCTGTTTTACTGCAGTGACTGCACAGATGAAGAAAACCTAGGAACACCTCAGCGACTCCTCAAACTGCTCCATGATCGGGGTCACTGTGCCCCATGGGGGAGGCAGGGAGGTGGCACTGCCAGGTCCAGAGTGGGCCTGAAGGGCACCCAGCTAACGAGCGGGGGCAGGGCTCCAGGCCCAGGCCCCGCCCCCAGAGCAGGGCCCCTCACCACGTGCCGGCCCTGGAGTCAGGTGACCGCAGAGCCGATGAGCCCCGAAGTCTCGGAACTCTGCAGACTCGTGGAACCCCAGCGTTTATGGGTTATTAAAACTGTTCTCAGAGACGGTCGTGGTGAAGGTGTAATCGTCATCTTTGTCAGCTTGCCAGCTCGGAGCATAAGAGCTTTTATGAAACGTTTCAGAAACGCGGCTTGTGGGGCAACGGTTTATGGTTATCAGGCGTTTGATCTCTTATGTGAAAAATATGTACTTACATGTATTGCAGGAAACCTCACCACTTCCTTCCTAAGTGTCGGTCAAAAACACTAATTATTTGACTAATTAGACTGTGAAACTTCCCTTACAGATGGTAAAAATGAGCGATTTTCACCCCACAAATTTAGTTGTGACATACCAGCCCCCAAAATGTAGAAATGTTCCAATGGTTTTATTGTGGACAGCGTGAACAATCTAAACAAATCATGTAAAAATAAATTAGAAACTAATGAAAATAGTCTGGCTCTCCTAAGAGGGGAAACCAGGCTGGTTCTGTGGGCGTAAAGAGCCGAGCAGGCGGCCAGCCCGCAGGAGAGGCCCAGTGATGGGCGGGGCCGCCCCCACGAGTCGCCAGTCCTAACTTGGGGGTTTGTGACTTGTAGGCACTTCCTTTTCCTTCTCCCTGTTGTCCTTTGCTTCCTCTTCGCCTTTCCCTGCACGGTGTCTGTTCACTTGGAAGCTGGGACCACACGGTCTCCCTTCAGCTCTGCCCTCACAAGGCTTCCGCCACATCACACTTGTAAAGAATTAGTACCGAGGAAAGCGGGACCTACTTCCAAGAACCGCAGCTCAGGGAAGGAAGTGCCTCTGTGACTAGTGCTGTTCACACAGCGAGGAGCCCCTGAGCTCTCGGTCCCGGCCCCGAGGCCGGGGGTCTGTGCAGAGGGGGGACACACTCACCGGCATCCAGGCTGCCCGTGGCCGCTGTCCAGCCCATGACGGGAGGGATGGCCCCGACGACGGCTCCGACCCACGTGTTGGCGATGCTGACCCTCTTCAGCGGGGTGTAACAGCAGGTGTATAGGAAGATGTTGAAGACCCCCAGGGCTCCCGTGAGTGGGTTCACCCCCCAGGTCAGAAGGGCGACTCCTGGAACAGCACAGCACGCGGCAAAGGACACAGCTAGCAATGGGCTGGAAGAGAGCGGAGAACACAGAGCCCTCACATTCAAGTCCGGTTAATCCCGCCGTGCGGACGCGGGGCTGACCCGGGGTGATGGTGCAGCGAGCTCGGAGGAAACTGAAAACGAGGAGGGACTGTGTCTGCAGGAGCTGAGGCTGCTCCTCCTGGCTTGGCCAGCTGGAGCCAACAAAGTGAAGAGAGTGGAGGTTTCCGGGCCCTGGATTCGAACAGAGGCTCCGCTCTGTCCCTCCCGGGCCTCCCTGGATGTCCTGGCCTCCCTTCCTCACTGTGCAGGAGCAAAGACGCCTCCTCCTCGCAGGGCTGGCGTGAGGACTGGCCAGCCCAGAGCCTGCTCTGCACATGGCTCTGGTGCACAGCTGGTGCGAAGTGAGCGAGCGTGACAGATGGACCACTCGGAACATGGTATTTAATATTCGGGCAAAACCCACTATCTTACTCCTGGAAGCAGGTCTACCCACTTACTTACACTTTTATTAAAAACATCACCCAGTTAGCAATTATGGATAAGGACAGTGAGTCTGAGGACATCTACTGAAGTGAGTCACAGGCTCGGCACAGCACCGGCTCTGCGCCAGCGACAGCACTTCCCGGGCCGTGGCTCGGGTTATGGACATGGGACTCCCAAGGGGAAGTGGCACAGTGCTACCTACGTCCACTGTCACATACAGCTCTGTGGTGCTAAAGACAGTCGCCAGCCTGATTCTCAACAGGGCCCGCTTTTTAAAGTAGACTTTGCAAGGAATCTTGTGAAAGGCCTTTTGGAAGCTTGAACTGGGTCCACTACTTCCTGCTGTGGGCACGTTTGTTCACTCTTCCCTAAGAAACCTAAGGAGGTTACTAAGGAGGCTGCCTTCTCCTTAGGGAGGCCGCAGTCCACTCACAGCCCCCACCACGGGCTCCCTGGGACGCAGGCTCTGGTTTTGGCAACAGCCAGCTCCGCCAGGGAGACCATCTGTCCCCGGCACGCGTGCACGTGGCTGCTGCCCGTCCTCACAGGCTGCGGCGCTTCCTGGCGGGAGAGAGTCCTGTGTCTGCAAGCCGGACTGCCTGCCCCCGGAGGGAAGACAAGCTCGGCGGGAGTGGGGCGGGGGAGCGGCAGGGCCCACCGGCTGGAGACCAGGGACGTCAGGGCGCTGGACCGTGAAAGCGGGAAGTGACTCTTGGAGCATCTTGGCTCCCGCTCTGACATGGGGACTGGCACCGACCCAGTGAAATGGGAGTTTTGATGGAAAACGGGAACATACGAGGTATATTTTATCCAGGTGCCCGGGATGGGAGAGCCAAGAGCTACACCTGAGACTCGGTGTGGGTTCGACCCTGGAGGTGACTCTCCATCCCATTCCTACCACCTGTTCTGCATCTCCTGTCGAATACTCCCTCCCGGGGCACCGCAGGCCGCCTGTCCTCCCTCCGTCAACCCCCCTCCACCGACGACCCCCGTTTCCGGGTCTGCACAATGACCTGCTGTCTCTGCTCCTGCTGGAGGAAGCCCCGCAGTCACATTAAGTGGCCGAGGCGAGAGGACGGCTCACAGCGCGGCCACCTGGCCAGGGCTGGGGTCCTTGCTGGTTCCCCAGAGTGACGGCAGCAACTCCTCACCTGCCTCCTCCAGGACCCAGACTTCCCCCGCTCCCGACCCCCTCAACAGACGCCCTTCCCTCCTACGTGAGAGTGAAGGTCGCCCTCATCCTACTTTCTCCCATTTCTCTCTCATTTGTGAAGGTGAACGCTCAGGTTTGCTCTGGTTTAATCCCCTCCCTGGTCTGCCCTGATCTTCTCTGTCCACCAGCCACTGGGCTCCTGCGTCCTCAGATCAGCTGCTGTGCTGACACTCCCTCAGGTTCTCACCAGCCCACTTCACACTCCAGCATCCCGGTGGAGCAGACTGCACACCTGGTCTCTACTTCCCGTCCCTCCCTGTCCCCACCTGCTGAAGCAGGTTTCTGGCAGGTTGTGACGCACACCATGTGACCTGGGGCCCCTGGCTTCCCCATGTAGCAGACGACACAATTTTCCAGAGGGTGGGCGAGGAAGGCACCTGTGTTGTCTCGTCTCACAGAATGTCCAGAAGGAAGAACCGAGATGGCTAAGAAGCAGTGCAAAACTTAGAACTGCGTTCTTCCTTCAGGAAGGCAGTTTATAGCTTATAAGAACAGATTTTTTTCTTTTTTCTATGGGACTCTAAAAAGCTAGTTTTATTTTGGGTGGGAGAAAAATGTGGCTCATAAACATTTTTATTTATCCTGAATTGAACCTTGTGCAGGGTTGGGGGGTGGGGAAAGAAGGCCGTTCACTCCTTCTCCAAGGTCTGCGGAAGCCAGTTGGATTCAAAGATATTAGTGTTCTGAAAAGCGCTTTTGGAAAAGCACACATGAATTTAATTTATTGAGATAGGTAATTTTATGGGGAAGTTTAGTTTCTGACCCTTGTCGGACTCACAGAAAATCATGAGGCTCAATTTTGGTGTTTAGGTCAGTGCTCAGGGCCACGAATGAGAACTGAGTAGGCTGGCAAGCCACGTACACAAATGAGGGTTTCCCCCAGGTAGCCACGATCATTCTCAGCACCCAGACGCTCAGGGGGCCCACCTCCTCCCTGGTACAAGGAGCCCTGGCTTGGCTCACCCTGTGGGCAAAGGGGCTCCGGTTGCTAATTCTGTGAGGTTTATTCTCCTGTGATGCTTTATTTTTCTTAAACTTATAAAAGTAACACGTTCATTTCAGAAAATTTGGAACTACAGAAAATCACCAAAAAATTCTAAATTAGTTATTCAAAGAAACGTATTGGTTTATGTCTTTCTAGCCTTTTCCCAACGATACGCCTACTTTAAAATTAACTGAGAACACAGTGAGTTGTGGTTTTGTTACTTACTTTGTCTTCAGTTTATCTTAATAATTTCCCTACACCATTAAGAATTAATTTACACCATCATCATTAGCAGCTACACAGTGGCCTTTTCCGTGGATATACCACTATTAAGTCAGTCAGCGTGTCCTTCCTGGACACAGTCTTTTTCCCTTTTTTAAATCAGAAATAATATTGGGACGAGTATCTTATGTGAGACAGGTGTGGCTCACAGCTCTGACCAGGACACACTCTGAGGACGACTTCCCAGATGTGAGGTCAGTCAGGCAGACGACACGCACGTTGTGAGGGGGGCTGACCAGTGCCGCAGCCTGTCCTGTGCTCCAGACTGTATCCTGGCTTACACCCCCACCAGCAGCGTAAGAGAGCCCCTCCCCTGAAGCTGTACCAACACTGGGTACGGCACTCGAAACAAACAATAATTAACAAAGTCAGACAAGTTTACTGAGATAGCATTATCCCCATTTTACAGATGAGAAACTGAGGCTCAGCACAAGCAAACCTGTGGGCTCGTTCCGGGAACCTGGGGCTGCCCCGCTACCCGGTGTGTGGGGTGTCCTGGCCCAGTGCCACTTACGGATGCTCTCGGGTCTGGGGGGCCTGGGGTCTGCAGGCCGCTGGAAGCAGCCCCTTGTGGGTTCACCCCACAGTATAAGCAGCCTAACTTTCTACTGCATTCCTTGAGAAGAAGACGACTGGGAAGCCCTCGATTTTTTTTTTCAAAACAAAGGACAGCCCTGGGATATAATGTGGCAAGCAAGGCAGGTGTGGTCCTTGACCCAGAGGCACTTAGACTGGAGGAGAGACAATTAAATAGGTGGTAACCGTAACCATCCAGTGCAGGGCAAGCCGTCTGGGAGCCTGAACTCGGTGTGAGCAGGAGGTCTGGGGGGACTTGAGAGGTTTCTGGGGAGAAGTGATGTGTACGCAGAGCCCCGATGGACGGACACAAGGCGGGCAAAGGGCAGAGAAGCAGGTTCCAGGCGCAGGAAGTGTCAGAGGGCAGAGATGTCGGGGAGGCCACAGGGAGGCCTCTGGGCAAGTGCAGAGTCAGTGAACTTTACTGCTTCTTAAATTGGGGAGAAAATGCTCAGATGATCTGCTTTTGAGAGGCAGCCTTCCGCCTGCCGGGAGGCTAGCATTCGTGCACCTCACGAGAGAGTCCGCACTAGGCGTCCTTTCAGGAAAAAGGCTCGCGAGCGCGCCAGCACACAACTTTCCTCAAGTGTGCAGCCGGCAGAAACAGCATCTGAGCAGTACGGCGCCTGTAGTCTCCCTTCCAGATACCCCAGAACACACTTGGGGCGTGGGAGCTCTGCACCGGGCGGCCTCAGGTGGGCTGACACGAGGCTGGCCCAGCTGTGTTTTCAGCTCTTGTTTCTGGCAATCTGTCTCTCCCTAGTCTTTCTGGCCTTTTGCGGGGGGGCAATTCTGTCACATTTTACGTACCTGTGCAAGTTAACAGAAGCCTTGTTTGGAATAAGGCGGAGTAAGAGAGTTAAATAAATGAAGGGTGGTGACAGCATTTTGGTCAGACTCTTCAGACGTGATAAAAATACATCAGTCAAAGAAGCGAAGGGTTCTTTTTGAAACTGCAAGTGGGAAGAGGAGGAGCAGGAGTAAAGAGAATGTGCATCAAGTCGTGTCTGGGTTACTGCTTAACGTCAGATTTACCATGAAATCCTTAAATATCACAGTGATATAAAAGTTGTTCAAGTTTAGGTCTTCCAATAAAGAGATCTCTTTTTGACACAGAAAAAGGTTAGAAAAGCGTGCTCATTTCTCATCTCAGTTAAATACAGAGGTTTTCTGCCTTAGTGCTCATAAAACACGGTCAGAGCTAAATCTCAGAGACCTGAAGGGCAGTTTTGTCAAAGACTGATTTTCTCGTTGTTTTAGGTCAATTACTCAAAGTTCTCTTTCTCCTAATCATACTGCTCAGCCCTTGATCCAAAAAACCCATCTACTCTCCCTGTTCTAAGGGTCTTGGAAAGTACCCCAAACCTGGGGACACACACACCACCCCCCGTTGCTTCTCCTTTTATCATTTATTCTTCATTTAAATTTTTGTTTACATTTTTTCCTCACCCTTTTTGTTCCTTCCATCGTTCAGATTCCTCAGCAG